TTGCCTGTTTATCTGCACAATACTGAAGGGCTCTTGTTTGTTTTAATCTCTCTCTCTCTCTCTCTCTCTCTCTCTCTCTCTCTCTCTCTCTCTCTTTCTCTCTCTCTCCCTCTCTCTCATATGTATGTGTGGTATGTGTGTGTACAGACATGCATAAGCACACATGGGTGTGGTGTGTGTGGAGGATATGTGTGTGCACACAGATTTATGTGTGAGTGCAGAGATGTGTGTGCCACAGAACACACGTCAAGGCCAGCCTTGGGTGTTGGTCTTCACTTTCCACCCAGTTTGAGACACAGTCTCTTGTTTATTGTTAGCTGCAATGGGTTAGCTGGCCATCGGACTTCTGGGGATTCTCCTGTCCCTGTCTCCTACCTCACCACAGGAGCCCTGGGCTACAGGCACACGTGCTATTCTGCCTGGCTTCTCATGGGTTCTCAGAATCCAAACTCAGGTCTTCATGCCTGCGCTTTACCCACTGAGCCATTTTCCCAAGTTAAGGTCTCTTCTGGCTCAGGGGCAAGGGTTTCAATGCATGGTCGAGTGGGTCTGTGACCTTTGGACTTGTGTTGACACAGAACATGATGGGGTGTGCAAAGCTGCTCACTTCATGGTGACCAGGAAGCAAAAAGAAAGGAAGGACTAGGGTCGTAATATCCCACCTAGAGCAGCACAGGAAGTCTCATTTCTTCCCACGAGGCCCAAACCTGAAGGCTTCTCCATCCCTAGTGACCAAGTCTACCACATGAGCGCAGGGGGTGTATTTAACAGCAAATTATAACACTTCTATATTAAATGTGAAATCACATCCATATCATCCAAGATGGTGGGTGAGTGTGGTGACCCTGTAGCCAAAGACTATCCCAACTAGCTGTAAAGAGTCTGTTCCAGAAAGGAAGCCATGGGCAACCTTGCTTTCTTCTCTGGTCCATGTTCCTGTAGGAACAGGAATTGGGGCCTCTTGGCACGATGAGGCATGTTCTTTGCACATGGGAACTTAGCAGATAAGTATGTCTTCACATATTAATGAGCAAATTGACCTGTTTGAGCCAAGTTTCATCTGGATTGTTCTGAAACATCTCATCCATTCCTGGAACATCTGGGCACCGTGCTAACTGCAAAGCCTGCTCTTTTCTTGTCTTGTTATTTGGGGAAAGCATTATTCGTGGCAAAATTGTGTGTGCTGTGCTCTGTTTCTATATAATTTGCTTGGAACCCAAATGTTTTAGTCCCACCTCCCCCCTCTTTTAATATCCCAGAGACACTCTTTCCAATGAGTCATGCCCACCAGGGAAAATTACCACTTGGCTGCAGGTCAGCTCTTGTCTTTGCACAGGGAGATAGGGAGTGAGCTATCATGTGGTGACTCATTGGAGCTGTGGTTAAGGTGTGAGGAAAATGTGCTAGAAGGGAGTTTAAGTGTGGGCCCCTCCACCAAGGATGGGCTTCATGGAGCTGGCCCATGGGCCTTCTTCCCAGTGTGTAGTGCACATAGACACTTCTCAGCATACTGACTCACATTTGATCAGGAACCTCAAACTTCTAGCCACCCAACATTGCCCCCCCCCCAAAAAAAAAAAAACCCTAGCTCCTTCAATTTTCCTTGGGACTGCTATTCGCCTGTATTGAAGTCATCTCACTGGCCCAATCTTAGCAGTGAGGATAGAGCATCTTCTACTGGGACAGTGAACATATTGGTGAAATCATTTGAATGATCGTGATCTTAAGCCTTCTTCTTGAGAAGAAATGGAGTGGACACTGAGGACTACACATTATGGGGACCTCCTATGTGAGATTGTCTGAATGTGGCCACAGTGAGACAAGCTGCATGAATACTAGAGAGCAAGGATGTGCAGCCTACCAGGAGGCCCAGCTATAGCTGCAGGAGCAGTCTGGCTGGCTAGGCATCCTGAAGGAGGTTAAGAATAATAACCAACTACCACAGGCACATAGCTCCCTTCTCACCTGTTCCAGCCCCATCTGAAGAAAGGCTAGAAGCAAATGTAGATATTTATGTCTGAGCCATTTCTGTTCCATTTTCTTCCCCTCGTGGACCTTTACAAAATGTTTCATTCACTCATCAAATACTTCTCAATGTGTACTGTGTGCCTGGTACATTGATGGACGGTCTCTCGATTCAGCCAGGTGCTTTTATTGCTACATACAACGGTGTAGGAAGGGAGCCTGTGCTCCCACATGAGCACACTTGTGAACACACACATGCACACACATGCAACACACGCACCTGCATTCACATGTGCACACATAATTTTATACACCCTTACATGAGCACTCAGACAGACAGACACACATACCTTGGCACCTTACAGGCTGTTTCTTCCAAGTAATTATTTTGGAAAAGCAGACAAGCTGTCCAGAATGAATCTTAACATCTCCTTATAGAAAAGAATATGTAGGGAGGACAAGGAAATCCGTGGCTGATATGTAAAATTAAATTAAATTATAAAATAAAAAAAAGAAAAGAATATGTAAACAAAGCTAATGCTCCATTCCATCTCACTTACTAAAGAATTCAGGAAAGCTGCTACCTTCCTTTGCTTTCCTGTTGCTGTGATAAAACCCAGACCCAAAGAAACCGGAAGAGAGAAGGGCTGATGTTAGCTTCCAGGTATAGGCCGTCAGGGAATGAAGCCATTGCACAGACCATGATGGAACTCTGCTTACTAGCTTGGCTTGTCTGGATTGCTTTCTTACACCACCCAGGACCACTTACCCAGGGGTGGCACTGCCCACAGTGTCCTGGGTGCTCTCACATCAACTGTCTTAATCAAGAAAATGTCCCACAGATGTGCCTACAGGCCAATCTGATGGAGGCGATTCCTCTACTGAAGTTCTCTCTTCCTTGGCAAGTCTAATTTGTGTCAAGTTGACAAGAACTAAGCAAACAGCTGGTAAAACCCGTATACTTGATCATGAACAAGGCAGGAAACTTCAAAGTCCATTTGAAATATTATTTATTGCTGGGTGGTGGTGGTGGTTCACACCTTTAATCTAACCACTTGGGAGGCAGAGGCAGCCTAGTCTACATAGTGAGTTCCAGGATAGCCAGGGCTACCCAGAGAAACCCAGTCTAGAAAAAAAAACCCTAAATATGTATTTTATTTATTTATTTATTTATTTATTTATTTATTTATTTATTTATTTATTTATTTATTTATTTATTTATTTATGTGTATGGGGGTTTCAGATATTTCTCAAATAAGCAAAATAATTCTGAAACCTTAAATCTTTTTCTTTTTTAAATTGTGGTCAAATGTACTCACCATACAATTTGCTGTTTTCAACTTTCTTCTGTCTACACTTTAGTGGCATCATGAACCATCTTCAGAACTTTGTTGCCTTGGCAAACTGAAACTTTATGTTCATTAGCCTAACCCCTCTCCTTCCTCGCCTCCATTCTCTATAGACTTGACTGATCTGGTTCCTGAAGGAGCAGAAATTGTAGTTCTTTGTGTCTGTGGTGCTATAGTTTGGATCTGAAATGCCCTCACAGGCTTATGTTTTTAATACCTGGTCCCCAGTGTGTGGCCCGTGTGTGTGTGTGTGTGTGTGTGTGTGTGTGTGTGTGTGTGTGTGTGTGTGTGT